CGTCTCACTAAATGAGGACGTAAACACATGAACAACATCTCCAGAACTGCTCTGAGAGTCACTTCATGAGCATTTTAGCGTTTGATTTGAGTAAAACTAGCTTGTATCTCATAAACAGAACTGTAAAGGTATTCACGGCAACCCGTCAAAATAAAAGTCCGGTTTGATTTGAAGACATTGTGCCTATAACTATTTTACAGTAGAATGTACATAGCCTATTACTACTACTACTACTACTACTAAAATGAAACAAACATTATTTTTTAAGGAATAATCACACAAAACATTTCTTCCATGTTTTAATTTTAATAGTAAATCCCCTTTGTTTGCCAAAAGATCTTGTTTGCTTAATTTTCAATAATTAAAAGATAAATGATCAATTAAATTAATGGTTTATGCCTTCATTTGATAACCAGAAAAAAAATTAAATATACAATACAGAATTTCTGAGGGGGGGGAAATTCATAAGGCTACTTTAAGAAAAAAATGAATAAATTAAGTTGTTTTATGCATTCAAATAATTAGACATGCTAAAACACAGAATTTGGTAACAATAAAAAATACAAATAATATGGTGAGAAAAAATAAAACATTTCATAGGGCCCTAAACATGTAATTTTTTTTTAACTTTTAATAAATTGATGTGAAAATATATAAGTTTCATGATTTTAATTAATAAGAATAAAATACTATTTTTCCCTATATATTTCATCATTGAGGATTTCTTAAAGTCTAAAAATCTCGTCTCGTCTCGTTCTCGTGAACCCAGTCTCGTGTCTCGTCACACCCCTACTGTTTGCCATTCGTTGTGGTCCAAGTTCACTTTGATATAGTGAAGTTTTGAAATGAATCTACTCTTGCTTTGTTTTGTCCCTGCTGTGTTAGATCAAGTGTGCTGCTATTTTTCTAAAAGCATTGTCAGTCACCAACAAAGTATAACAATGTATAGAGCAGATATGCACAACTGTATTTAGATTTTTTTATGAGATTTGAGTCATGTATTTGCTCCGAAAGATTAAAGACAATACTTTGCATGACATGTGGGAGCCACAAGAGAATTACGTTGATAAATCAATACATAATACAAGGTTAAATAGACGTCTTTAAAGGTATAGTTGGTATTACATCTTATCTTTAGATGTATGAGGTTTGTATCCGTTATTCCTGGAGGACAGCCTGAAATGTGATACATTGCAGAGATTGAGACTTTAGTTTATGTTAAAATAACTTGTGCGTTTTGATGAATGAGAACAAGATTGAGTGACTAATTTAAACGGAAGTTTTTAGTTACTTATATAAAGAAATGGAAGAAAAGGATTTTCTTTTCTTGACTAAGTTATAAAATTTAACACTATAACTGGATTTCAGTATGAAGTTATAATACAATACATCATGCTGCTGTATTTATAAGGATTATAGGAGTATGTTATGCTCAGATCAGTCAGAATAGGTTGCTCTTTTCTGCATTCTGCAAAGAAGACTTGCTTGCTCTTTGCAGAAAAAAAAAGAATAAGCAATGTCTTCTTTGCAAAATTTTATAACCATAGTCAAGGGGGGAAAAAATAAAGAACTGCTATATTAAAGCAGCACTATGTAACTTTTTCTTTGTTCAAAATTTGCAAAATGTATATAATGAGCGAATACATCATGAATTCATCTTCCAAACCGCGTTTTGGTCTTATTCCGAATCACTACGGTACACTTATAATAAGTACTTATATTTGGACTATTGTAGCCTGGGCGGGTCGTCACCGCTGCGGAGGAACACATACCTGCGTGAATCGCCATAGAGTCATAAACTTAGAGAAGTAGCTCCGGTTGGAATGTTCTTCCGCGGGATGTGTGCAGTTCTGTTTATTAACCGCTAGAGTGCCAAAAGTTACATAGTGCTGCTTTAACCCAGATGAGATTCCTTAAATTTTGGACAGTTGCACAAGATGACTGAATTTATAGCACATGTTGAATGTCATAAATAATAAAATTCATCCATCCAATGCACGCATGTTATTTGTAAATTATATCTTATTTAGATATTTAGCCAGAGAAATGAAAAGTAGCTGGAGATTACCTGTCTTTTGAGATTTGAGGACAATTAACTCGCTATTTTATTCAGTGCATTTATTCTGTGATGAGATGGTCAGTTGGTCATTGAATAACATGGCAGGGGAGTTGAAGAACTTTTTAATTAGACTAGAATTGAATGAAAAAGAATCAAACAGAAAACTGGAACAAAATCCTTTCATAGGGATGCCCTGTGCAGACTGTGGATCTGAAGGCTGTGTTTGCTGTTTGACAGCACGCCGTTATTTCAACCAGGACTTAACATAAGCATTCAACTCACTCAATTTAAAACATCATATTACCTGTGTAGGGCAGTCTGTAGAAGCAGAAGGGAATCCCTACCATAGACTGAAGTGCCAAATATAGTACTTCTGCGTTACTGTTGGAATACATAAGAGGAAAACTTGAGAAACACTGTTCAAATCTAAACCATAATAAATACTTCCTTTCTGTCCCAAACAGTCGCTGTGTGTGATGCTGAGTTGAAGTTGGAGGCAACTGACGGAGAAAATGTCACCATATCCTTCAAAACTGCTGAACTGAAGAGAGCTGACCGAGTGAGGATAACTTTTACAAGAGAAAATCAGAAAACCTTGATTGCGCAGTACTGTCGCTGTGGCCATTGTGTGGACTGTGATGTCGTGGAAACACCGGGAGTCTTACTGCGAGTTGAAGAAGGAACTGTGCCCTTGATTCTTCTAGATGTCAGCTCCAATAACTCAGGCCTCTATGAAGCACGAGTCTTCATTGGAAACAATGTGTCTGAGATAAAAGCTACACTTGTTGTCAAAAGTATGTAATCAAGATATACAGTATCTGTTTACCTGTATCAGGATTATGAGAAAAATAATGTAAATGTTCATGATTGTGCTCAAAAAGTTGTAAAAAGTGTTATTCCTACTTGAGCCGGAAATATTTGTGACATTGCAAAGAATTTTCTCTGCTGTTTTCATAAGAAATCATATTCATAAGTTACTTTACACAGTAGCATGGTTTAAAATGGCAGAGACTGATGAAATTATTATAATTTGTTTTTTTTTAAAGCCGCAGTTGAAAAGAATTATAAGTGATAACATTTAGGTGATCTTACTGATGTAAGGAATCAGATGTGACGCATTGTTTGATCCACAGCATGAACTCCTCAAGATACAAATTTGGAAAAGAAGAAACTATTGCTTGCACAACTCTTTGGATAATTTGTGTAAAAACCTGTGTAAACGTGCAGGTCCTTTATTGACATTTATTCAAAAAGAGTAAAAGCTTGTATGATTATTTTTGATTTGGCAGATGGTAGCAGTTGCTGAAGTAGGATTGGTCAGTTAGGCCTGTCAAGATGGCTGTTTTTTTGTTTTTTTTGCCACTGACTACATGATGATAATATAATAGCATAATAATGTAAGTGCACCCTTTGTTGTATTTTACAGAACCTGCATTTTCCTCCACTAAAGCACCACTACAGATCTCCACCCCAAAACCTCCCAACTCCTCTGAACACCTGTGGCTGTGCGCTTTACTGATTCCTCTAAGCATCTTGGGGGTGGTTACTTGTTTCTTCTGGAGGAAGAAATGCAAGAGGGCAAGTATTACTTGAGTTTATTCTTTTATGGATGGAAATGAGCTGCGCTTTTCTAATGATCCGGGACTGTATTCACCAAAAATTATGAGGCTAAAAGTTGCTCCTAATGTGGAAATATTGTTCTTAATTGTAGGACTCGTATATTTTATATCTAAGAGTGATTCCCCGAGTATTAAAAAAAAAAAGGTCTTCGACAAAGTACATTTTTCTAATTCTAAAGAATTAATGTGGCTAGGAGAAATTAATTTGCCATTAATTCACCATTAGTCAGTGTTTAATTATGATGTTCATGTATGGAGCAAGTAGATGAAAGTTAATCCAAGTTTATTGTAAAACTCAAACCAGGAGCAGAATGATTGCCTGTTTTTAAACCAGTTGAAGAATAATGTGGTACATCTAAAAATGATAATTACAAAATTATTTGCTTGTTTTGTTGTTTAAAATAATGTTAAAAGGGTCTGTTTTAAATGTATATGCCTGAAATGTATTTAGCTTCGTCTTCTGCACCTTTATATTTGATTTGATTTGCATCTTGTAACTGTGTTTTGTGTGTTGACTGTCAGGAACGTGAGCCATTACCTGATGTTGAAGAAGCCAGAGAAACCCCTGCTGTCTCCAGGTATAAAGTTGCTCCTCCCTGATCTGTGGATTTCCTCGGGTCTTTTTATGTATCGCATGCAGGGTTTGAAATTAACTTTTTCACTCACCAGCCAATTTGGCTACTAAATTAAGTTACCGGCCATTCATAATTTCTACTAGCCAAAAAAATTAAACAAATAAATAATGAAAAAAAAGGCCGGAGGTAAGCCAACAGCTTGAGGCTGTCCACACTGGATGCGACAAAGTGACCATTGGAAATTAATTAGTAAACATAATTTACGAAAAGTAACCCGCCAAATTGGCTAGTGATTTGACAGCGTTACCCGCCACAGCTGATTTTTACCCGCATTTGGCGGGTTGGCGGGTGTTAATTTCAAACCCTGATCGCATTACTTTTTCATAAAATTTTATTTCATAAAAATTTGTCGTGTTGGGCCTCACTGAAGTCAGTTTTCTGTTGTTTTCTTTACAGACACAGCATCTTCAAAAAAAATAAGTGTAAAAGAAATTGCAGAGACTGTGTAGCTGTCTCCTTTAAGGCTTGTAGAGAAGACACTGAAGATCAGCTCGTGGATACCTGACTTGATACTGAGTGTCTTGACTGCGAGCGATGTCTCACACTGCCTCTTGAACTGAGGCGTCAAAACCACATTTAGTTTTTTGATTTTGTGGGAAAATAGACAATTTGAAAGCTGAGACTTTTTCTTATCAGAAGTAACAAAGCACTTTGCGATTACTGGATGGGAGGTACATTAGAAATAATGTTAAATGAAGGGAAAATCCAAACACTTTAGCCTTAATCAGACCCTTGGTCTAGATCTGGTTTTTGTGCATGTCTGATTGGAATCTGATCATATTTAGTAAAACTGTGTGAACACCAGACACAACCGTGGTCACATGTTAACATCTAGAAGCAGTCTACTCTACACAACTCAACATCATTGCCATAGAAACCAATGCAGATATTCCAGAAAATGAAAGACAATCCATCATTTAGATACGATTTCAATCAGATACACAAATACTCTGATTTGGACTGAGAGATAATCAGGACTGCTGAGATGATCATTGGTGCCCAACCTCCAAGATCTTTACACTTCCAGAGTGAGGAAAAGGGCTGGTAAAATCACTTTGGACCCAGCACACTCTCTCTTTCAACTGTTGCCTTCTGGCCGGCACTGCAGAGCACAGTGCCCCAAAGCAAGAACAGACACATTATTAGTGTCTATTATTAGTGTTTTTATTACCTTAAATTAGATGCATGTCTGCGCTGGAAGCTCCTGACACCAAGACAAATTCCTTGTGTGTGTAAACACTTGCCAATAAAGCTCTTTCTGATTCTGAGAGTGAGAATGTAGTCTTTGAGGCCAAACTATCAGATGCATTTATTTATTCTTCATCACAAGAATGCATAATATTATCAGGGTACATATTAACCACAATTGTGTTTCTTGTCAGATTGCTGAAACACTGAGGCAGACTAGCTTTAGATTTTCACAAGTGCTTTCCAGTTTTGTGTGCAATAGAAATCAGATGTCATATAAAAGTTATATAATATATCAAATTGATTCACTCAAAAATAAAGATTTAATGGGGAAAGTAAGATTTCTCTGTACTTTGTGTGCACATATTTTTTATAAATGTATTGCCATTTTTTAGTATCTTGTCGTTGTTGATTTGTTGTCAAAGTCTATCTCTATTATAATTATATATTTTAGTGCCACATATCTCCCACAACTTTGATCAACTGGTGTTTTCTCATCTGATTGGTGAAATAATGTAAAAGTAATAATAATAAAATAAAAGTAATAATAATTTCACTCTGCCATAGTATCATAAATGTTAAATAATGAACATTTCATTCTAAAGTTTGTACAGTTTAGATGAAAGCTACTGATTGACAATACAAATTATTTAAGGAACATATCAATTCATAGATTCATGATTATAAGTTATAATTATGAATAGATACAGTTATAATTTATAACTATTTAAATCAGAGCTGTCCAAACTCGGTCCTGGAGGGCCGGTGTCCTGCAGAGTTTAGCTCCAACCCTAATTAAACACCTGAACCAGCTAATCAAGCTCTTACTAGGCATAGAAACTTCCAGTCAGGTGTGTTGAGGCAAGTTGGAGCTAAACTCTGCAGGACACCGGCCCTCCAGGACCGAGTTTGGACAGCCCTGATTTTACTTCTATTTCTGTATATAGTACATTATTCAATTTTTCTTTTTTTTATTATATTAGTGTTATATTACATCCCTACTGTGTTATTCCTATGTATGTCTGCACTATGTTTGTACTTTCTTCTACACTGGAAGCTCCTGTCCTCAAGTCAAATTCCTTGTGTGTGTAAACATACTTGGTAATAAAGCTCTTCTGATTCTGATTCTGATTCTGATTACTTTTAAAAGTAACTTTCCCCAACACTGATATAATGCAATAACATGTTCGGTATTAGGATTTTACTATAAAGTTATTGTAATGATGTAATTGTTATTGTAATTATCATGTTCTTGTTATGTGGGTTCTATTCATAAAAGATGAGAGGAGAGCACTGTGACTGTTAATCGTCTTTTAATACCTCCACCAGAACACACGCAGACAGGATGTAACAACTTCCCCACATCAACAACATAACACTGCCCTCTAGTGGGACGTTGATGTAACTAGCATGAATACGCACAGACTGAGTTACTTTAATAACCTACTGTATATGCAGCCGCATATACTACAGTAATAATTTTGACATTTAGGCAATTTAGAAAATATCCCCAGCCTTTTTTATGTGATGGCCATACAAATAAAATAAAATAAAATAATAAAAAACAGGGTTGTCCTTGTTTCAGAATTTGTTGTGGATGGGATGGCCTGGATGGATGTGTGGTATTTCCTGGCCTGAAATTTAGTCCCAGTCCGCCCCTGCATGACCGCAGAAAAGCGTTTATGGATGAGTCAAAAAACGAGTCACACAACTGGAGTATTGGAGGAACATCAGCTTGGGCTTGTCTAAAGATTGGCCAATGCAGTTGTCTTTCATCTCTTTTCACTAATTAAAAACATGTCCCCATACCTTTTGGCAAGTCCTCTGCTACATGAGATGCGTCTAGACGAAATACAACTCTAATTCCAGGGAAGTTCATTTCTCGAATCACATCGAAAATGCAAAACTCCAATACAACAAGCAAGTCAATAAACTATTATATATTTTATTTATTATATATATTTTATCCACAAAATGTTAATTTGTAAAAAATAGAAAAATAAGTAGAGTGAAGTATAAAGGATTTGTGTACAAAATAGGCCTATATGTTGTATATTGTGTATGCTGCTGTACAATTGTATATTGTACAACTGTAAATATTACTTTGAACTGTAACACGTGAACTATTAACAAGAAAGTAACTGTAGAAAAAAAACAAAAAACAATAGGCCATTTTCAAGAGTGGTAATATTGAAAAGTATTGCACAGATGCGGCACTCAAAGGGGGGATTTTGCCGAGATCATTCGTGAAAATCTTCTAATAAAACATAAGTAATCAAAAGCTTATTTGTTAAAAAAATAATGAAAGCAAGCATTTTTATTTAACTTTTGATTAGCATTTTACGTTTAAAATTTTCCATGAATAATCTCCATAAATAAAAATGAAAAAAAATGCAGATCTTCTTTAAAGTTTAAGCCTTTAAATGATTTTACATATGATGTTCCCATTTTATACACAAAAATACAAAAAAATTAGGGGTGTTATACAACACTTTTATTTATGTATGTATGTATGTATGTATGTATGGACTTTGCATCCCTCCAAGCACAAGCTATTAGGCTTTTGGCCTCGTCTTGTGTTAATGCAGACAAGCACGTTATGTGTTGCAGTCAAACATGATATCAGAAAGTAACTGTTAATGTTACTGTACAGGTTCTGTCCATCAGTGTCCATCTGTCTGTCTGCTGTCTGGAAGATGCTGACTTCTGTCTTTTCCTGTAGGGGTATTTTTTGTTTGTTTTTTCCCTTTAAGGAATGTGGTATTAATTTATTAACACGTGTTTGTTTTTGAAACACTAGATCTTCATATCATATGACACATCTCCTCATTCTGAACAACTTTACTTCTGGGACTATTGTTGTCAATCAAATCGTTCATTAAATATTCTCAATTATGTTAAAACCTACTTTTGCGAACTAGTCCTAGGTTTTTTGCTCATTTTCTATTAAACTACTACAGAAGAATTTTCTGGACTCTCTAGATCAATAATTAATAAAAAATGTTGAATTTTGTCCTTTGGCTAGCAATAACGGGACCATTTATTAAAGGGGTGTGGCCTAATATACCGAAAAGCCTTTAAAACCTAAACAAAAACTAAAAACTTTATGAAAGTTAGTGAAAACGTGTGCCAGATGACTCGTAATAAACACGCAAAGTTTCATAGAGATCGGACCATAGGTGTCGCTATAACAGTTAAAAAGGCCTCAAAAACACAATATTTCTATAGAAAATCACCGCAAAATGTAAAACATGTTCATATATTCACACAAACACTAGATCTTCATATCATATGATAGATCTCCTCATTCTGAACAACTTTACCTCTGGGACTAATGCTGTCAATCAAATTGTTCATTAAAAATATTCTCAATTATGTTAAAAACCTACTTTTGTGAACTAGTCCTAGGTTTTTAGCTCATTCTTGATTAAACTACTGCTGAACAATTTTCTACACTCTCTAGATCAATAATTATCAAAAAAAAATTTGAATTTTGTCCTTTGGTTAGCTATAACAGGGTCATTTATAAAAGGGGCGTGGCCAAATATGTCCAAAAGCCTATATAAATCTAAACTAAAACTCAAAACTTTACAAAACTTGGTGAAAACATGTAACAGAAGACACTTAACAAGCATGCAAAGTTGTACAGAGATCGGACCATAGGTGGCGCTATAACAGAAAAAAGGCCTCAGAAACACAATATTTCTATAGTAAATGACCTCAAATT